GGTATTAAACAAATGTAAATAATTCTTTCCGCGAATTTAAATTCCCCTGTAGGAAAAACGATGTCTTCAGTTCAGTCAAGATCTGCCCATTATTCCTTTGTATACCAAGTTTGACCTTGGGAAGGTCATGTCTATCGCACGTATAGTAGAAATATTCCCGTATAGTAGAAATTCTTTGCGTACTATTCTTTGCAAATTCGATTTAACGAAAAGTCTCTTCAAGGAACTTTGCGAGAATTTGAAAGAATTCGCACACATTTATACGAGTCGATCGATCTCAGATCAGAGAGATAGCGGCCTACGTGAGGAACGAATGTTGAGGGGAACGCACGATTAAGTCTTGGTCTCGGATAAGACTCTGATTAGATTCCGCCATAAACACCATCGCACTCCTTTTCCCCGCGTGTCGACCAAGTAGAAAATAAATATCAAAAAGGAGAAGGAAAAAGGAAGGAGATACCGAGGGAGTTGACCGATCGCGGCTTTCGGGCTGGGCCGTCTTCCACCGTACGGTGGTGTTTATTCGCGGGCGCAAAAAACTTGGGTGAATTCCATCGTATGGGTTGACGGCGAGGGGGAAGGGAAGAAGAGAGGAAGAAGACGAAAAGAGGAAGGAGGGAAGGCGAAGCGAGCGGCGATGCGAGGAAGAGAAGGGAGAGGAGAACGAGGGGGAGAAGATGAAGACGAGGAGGAGGAGGAGGAGGAGGAGGAGGAGATCGAGAAGGAAGAGAGGGAGGAGGAGGAAGAAACGCAACAAGAGCAAGAAGCAAGGAGGTCGTCGACGACAGCAATCTCTCGTGAGTAGGCTTATCCTATTGCCTCCGTCCCACCTTATAGCGCTCTCACACGCTATCAACGGGTGCGTAGGTGTTTCCGGCCGGCTGAAGAAGCACGGCCGTCTGCGCCCGTCGATCCAGAAGAAGACGGCCGAAGGCGGGATGGAGAGCCGGGGAGAGAAAGAGAAGCGGGGACGAGGAGGGAGAAGGACGGAACGGCACGGACGAGGTGGTAGCGAGAATGGAAGAGTATAGGAAGAGAGGAGACGGAGAGAGAGAGAGAGAGAGAGAAGGATAACGGGTGGGGGAGAGAGCTCAACCAAGAGACAGAGAACACTCGGCCGGAAGCAGTTACTCGCGCGATGCAACGAAAATATCAGGGCGTGCGTTTCGCAATAGGTCTGCTCGCGTCCGCCCGGAGTTTAATATAGAACACTCGCGGCCGGCTCCGTCGCAAAAACATCACGCTGACGTCGACCGTGCGCGAGAATTTTTCTCTCTCTCTCTCTCTCTCTCTCTCTGTCTTCTCCGTC